CCTCATGCAGCTTTCAGACAAGAAAACCGTCAGTTGCAGTGTCACCTAATATAAGTTCTGGCTACTGCAGAAGCTTCTATATGAGTTGGAATTAGGTCAGCTACACTTGGCAGAAAACCCAAATAGCAATAGTTTAAAGAAAACAGAAATCCTTCTCCAGCATACATGTACTCCTGCAACAGACCAGAGCTTTACTACACCTATTTTATTGCTGTGCTGTGTGTGGCCTCTCTGCCCAAAGTCACCTTGTTGTCCAAGATGGCTGCCTCAGCCCCCTACCACAGCAGGAAGGGGGGAAGGGAGAAGAAACACAGGATCCCTAACTTTAAAAGACTTCCCAGATGTTGCTTAAAGCACTTCGCTTACATCCCTTTTGGTCAGAACTTAGTCATATGGCAATGTCTAGCAGCAAGAGAAGCTAGGAAATGCAATATTTATTTTGAGTGACCAGGAAGAAGAGCGAATGCATACTAGGGGAAAACTAACAGTCTCTGACTCAAGATTTCAGGGAAAATCGTTGCCCAAATTGACATCTGAAGGTTGGCAGGATTCTCAGAAGTGTAGATGTGTGTGTGTGTGTGTCCTCATAGGAGAAAGACATTCCAGAGAAAAAGAAAAGCTCTAGGAATCGAACACTGAGAAGAAACTGTTCTTTCACCAATCGTGATTAATTATTGCATGACAGCATTTGTGTCTTTTTAGGAAAAGAGTTGGGGCTCAGGTTATAACAAAGGAAGGGGAGTAGAGTTAACATTCAGTGATATTTTGTGGTTAAAGAGACCAGGAGATCTTGTCAGAAAACATAAAGGAGGGAGGAGAGTTTATGGCAAGGTGGTGACAATATTGGCTCAGGTGAAGGCATGTACTTGAGCCAGTTCAAAGATGGGACCGTTTGGGTGCTGTCCCACAGTACAGATTCAGGGGATAGCCCATGCCTTTCTATACCCCTGGTAGAGCTGTATTACTGGCTCCATTTGAATCACAGACTAATAGCCATACTTACTAACATGGCATAGATCTGTAGGAACAATAAAAACATTTACAATATGTTAAATTCACATTATCGATCTGCTTTGGAACTTCTTTAATTTTTATAATGTTCAGTCTTATAAAATTAGTATCCTTTCTAGTTTAAACAAATTTATTAGCAATTTTTGTTTGCCTGTTATTGTGATAAATCAGCAATTGCCTCACATGAAAACAACAAATGGAATATTTTAAACGTCCTGATATGCAGTATGTTATTTGAGAAAATGTATGCTTTTATGTTTTTCTAATTATTTTCATACAGTGGTTTGGTTATGTTTTGATCCTGCTCTTTATCCACAAATGAATCAAAAATACAAATAGTCCAACGCATTTAAAAATAAGCACTCATTGAAAATATTTTATCTCCAAAGTGACTTTGTTCTGGTTTTAAGATCAAACAACAAATTTAAGTTTAAAATCAGTCAGAAAGAGAGTTTAAGTAAAGCACTGGCTTAAATGTATAATTATTTAGGTTCTTATGCAATTTTTTCATATTCCTTCTCAAATACCATGAAGCTATAACTTTTCTTTCCAGGGAAAGTGGTTCTATGGTTGATGGTTGGCAATACAATTTAAGTATTATACATGAGTGGGGGAAATTGAACCTCTTAATACATCTGTGACTGGTAAGTTTAATAAATGCCAGGTTGGTAAGAGCAAAACTTCTAGGACTTATTTGTCTTGAGATCAATGTATCTTTATGAGGAAGGAGAAATTATTAAAATCTGTGTTCATTAACCCATTATTTAGTTTGTGACTTCATATTAGATCATAGAATTGCCCAGAAGTACCTGGTACAATTCAGTTTCTTAAGGTCACTCCTAGACCTATAGTGACATGATTCATCTGATTCTATTTTTATGGTTATCTCTATAAATAATAATCAATCCCACAGTCCTTAGCTCCAATGTCGGACAGCAAGCATCCATTCCTGCTCTGAGTGAATCCAGATTTAACTCTAAAGACTGATCAAAGTCAAAACCTCCATATCATTTCCGATATATCTGTTCTCTCTTCTTATGAAGTATTCTGCTGCTTACTTAAATTTTACAAATTTCTAGTTTTGATTTAAAATAACTGAATAAACAACCACACAGAGATTTTGGACCAAATATGTTACATTTGACAATGTAAGTCATGTTTTCCTATTAGCCAAGTCATAATTTAACAGGTAGCTTCATAGATGGGCATTGACTCTGAAACCAAGAGGTCTATGCTATGATGAGGGATGGTGCATTTACTGATAGACTGGTAAACAAAGGGAAGGGAGATTGGTCATCAATGCTTTTGTGATTGCATATAAATAAATGTGATTGGGAGCAGTGTGGGGGATGAGGAACAGATGACTAGATCTTTGAATCATTAACAAGGTCAATATCACTCAAAATGTCTTCAATGAGCATGGAGTATATTAATAATAAGAAAAAACAACAATGAGCTATTAACAAAAAAAATCCTTCACTAACTCCTCATGGCCTATGTAATAAAGTGAACATGAACATGGACATGACCCTAACCTACACTCTTTCAACCTCATCTCTTGCCATGTCCTGCCTTCAACTGTAAGGTGCCATTGTGCTCTAGTGCTTCTTTCCTCTTTCCTTTTTTTGTTTGTGCAATAACTTTCCTCCATGACTCATACATGACCTCATTCTGTCCTCTCTCTGCTTCAAATTCTTTTCCCATCCCTTCCCCAATCCCAGACTAGGCCAGGGGTCTCTCTCTGATGTGTTCTCATAGACTCTGAGCATTACACCTCCTCCAGCACATTCCTGTTTGTGCTTATGTGTCTGTTCCTCTCACAAGATTCTATCCTCAATGCCACATACGTAGAACACAACCAATGCTCATTTGTTGAATGAGTGTTTTGGTGCATACTATAAGTTAGAAAATAACTTTAAGTAATCATAAAACTATAATCATCTTATCTATTATTAACTTACTACCAGAAATGCCCATTTGCACATAGGGCATCTAGACCACTTAATCCTTCCCTTTACAGATAAGGAAATAAGGAACTGATATCCCCATAGGTAAATGATAATTCCTTGAAAGCACAAGGACAAGAATTCTGGTCACCTGATTCTTTTTTAAAAATTTTATTTTAAAGATGTGGGGTACAATTTAGGATTGGGTATACAGGTGGTCATCATACATGTAATGTTTGGACCTCCCTTTGGTCCCCACTTCACCTCATTGATGTTATGTGCTCCCTGCTTCCTCCCCAGGCAGTTTCTGGCTACTGACAATCCCTTTCTTATAGTATTATGGTAAATGTTCAGGGTCTGCTTATGAGTGAGAACATGTGTTACTCATTTCTTTGTTTCTGTGATAGATCACGGAGTATTAAAGACTCTAACTCCATCCATATTGCTATGAAGTCCATAATTTTTTCCTTCTTTATGGCTGCATAATATTCCATTGTGTATATGTACCACATTTTTTATCCAGTTCAGTTTCAATGGGCATCATGGTTGGTTCCATGTTTTTGCTGTTGTGAACAGTGCTTCAAGAAACATACATGCACAGGTATGTATATATATTGTTTTTACCAAAGACAATCTACAGATTCAATGCAATACCCATAAAATTACCCAATTCTTACTTATGAGTGAGTGTGAATTTTCAAGCAAGGAGCAGTATATGGAGACCTTGCATAGTGCAAGGAGGAGGCCTAGCCATGCTGCCTTGAGTAACAGAACTTATTAATGAAACTAAAACAGTGCCCAGAAGATTTGCCATTGTGTCCAGTGGTCCTGTGTCCTCTGCTTCCCTGTGTCTATCTCCTTCCTTCTCCAGGCAATGAGATTCTGATTGAGCCCATGACTTGGAAACCTTTGACACAAACATCAGTATTGGATCCTATTAGTTGTAGCCAAAGTAAGGCAGTTGTTTGGGGTCAGTACATTTGACTTTGCAACCTATAGCTGATGTATGCAGGGGGAGCTTCGTAAAGCTTTAGCAGAAGCAAAGGGAGCCTTCAGCTAGGTATAGTCCCTTTGAGCTTTCTGGACTTGGCAATGTAGCAAGGAAAAAACATTTGTATATGTAAATATGGAATGGAAAGGATAAAATAGATACTGTAACAACAACTACTATAAATATTTTTACAACTACTAGTACCTAACACTACTTGTATTACTTCTGTTCTTACATGCCAGTACTTTGTAATTGAGTAGTCTTCTCTGCTCAGGTAGACAACAGGAGGGAGGGCTTTACAATTGATTTGCAAGAAGATGTAGAAGTTCTTTCACATTGTGCAATGATTGAGATCATGGGCTTTGTGCAAATCAAAACCACTTCTTAGATGTGACATCTTAGACAAGTAATTTAACTTTGTGTATACCTCAATTATCTCACTCATAAAATGGGGATAATACATCCTATCACATAAAGTCCTTGTGAGGATTAAATGAGAGAAACTAAGCACTGTTTAAAACAATACTTAGCACACAGTGAGCACTCAGTAAATACTTTTTATTAAGCTATGTGAAATAAAATGCATCTTTATCTTTGTTTCATGGATACTGAAACTGAGGCTTAATGATTTGCTATGTTAGTAAGTGGGAGAGTCTCAAAGACTCTTCCTCTCTTCTTTCTTTTTTAGCTTTTTTTGCTTCCTCCCTTCCTTCCATATGTACTTTTCTGCTGGGCTTGATTCAGATACGACAATTTTTGCCCAGCTGATTGGGATTAGCACATCTGAGTTCTTTTTAAATTTTTTTTCTACAGCCCCAGCTCCTTGCCGTAGCACTTGTAAGAAAGCACTCACTCACATATCTTATTCCGGTTGAAATAAAATCTTAGTATGCTTTTGTCTTTCGCCACTAACCTACTACTATTAACTGTCATATCCAAAGTCCCAAGCTTTATTTGAATCTTCATACTTGAGAAATCAATAGGGTCAAGGAAATAAGAACTGGTGTTTACATAAGTGTTTATTGGACCTTTCTTTATCATCTTTTCAGGTCTTGTAGAAATTTGCCTGATGCACCCCCTCGATGTGGTGAAAACCAGGTAAGGTTCTGCATGAACAAGTTTTATTGACTTTGGCTGATAGCCAAATTAAGATCTGTCAGAACACAATAAATGCTAGAACTTGTCCCAGGCCGCTAGCTTCTCTCTATAATAGCATTTGTATTTGCTTCTTAAAGAAGGTACTATTTGACAGATAAAATGTGAACAGTGAAAAACATTTCTGGATGGAGGTCATCCGAAGGTATGTAATATTTTACTCCCTTCACATGTCAACCATAGGTATGATTTGTGGCTATACTGGTAAATGAGGTAAATTTATCAAAATGATGTAAAAACTAAATTTTATCCAGTGAATTATGACAGCACATTTTCATGTGGCATTTCATAACAAATCACTATTTAATAGTCAGCACTTTGGTGTGAGACTTCAAAATTTCAAGCAAACTTCTTAAATGGTTCTTAAATAATTTATTCCCACAACTGTTTGCCAATGCAAAAATGCCATATTTTTAGGAAAATGCATTTGTTCTTAAAGGGTGATACAAGTCAGGGCAATATATTGAATCTACTTACCGAGAGAGAAAGAAAAATAACAAAGCCTGATGGCATTTAATATGATCTAGAGCATTAAAAAAAAAAAATTAAACCAGTGGCTGTATTACTGAACTCCCTATTTTTTCACATTGGAAATTCTTGGAATGAATGAAAATTTCCATTTATTCGCATTGCATAAAACTCAAGAACACCATGTCTAGGTTGGGGCCTAATAGTAAACAATGCCATGCCACAATGAAGATTAAACAAACCATTACTGCCTCAGTTAAAAAATACTTGATGATCCAGCTAGTCATTGGATGGACATGTTGCTTATTTTTCCTAAGAGAGTATCTTAGGCTGGTTGCTGAAAGCAAGAGAAGGTGACTGACATGCAAATAATATTACTTAGAGAGTCTCACCCTCTAATAGAGATAGAAAAGATGGAAATTTGGCCTCTGTCTTAGCATGAGCTGCTGTAACAAAATACCATAGACTTAGTGGCTTAAACAACTTACATTTATTTTTCACAGCTTTGGAGTCTGGGAAGTCCAAGATCAAGGTCTTAGAGGATCCGATTCTCTTCCTGGCTTGCAAATGGCCTCCTTCTTGCTATATTCTCACATGGTAGAGAGAGGAAGCTCTGTTGTCATTTCCTCTTCTAATATAGACACAGACACCATCATGGGGGCTGTACCCTCATGACCTCTTCTCAACCTAATCATCTCCCAGAGGCCTTACCTCCAAATGCCATCACATTGGAGGCTAGGGTTTCAGTATACGAATTTTAGAGAGACACAAACATTCAGTCTGTAACAGTCTCAAGTCAGTAGACTCAAAGAAAGAAAGAAGAAAACCACAAATTATATTCAAATACAAGATGTGTGCATCCCTGAGTCACTTTTTTTTTTTCTTTTTTACAGAGTTCAGAAACAGAAAGCAAAACTCACTGGTGTTTCCTTCTTAGATTTTGCGTTAACCTTCTTTCAAAAACCAGAATATTGTTGCTAGTCTTGCTGAGGAATAAATTGCTTTTGTCACTTAAAGATCATTTCCTAACTGAATAAACTGTTCAAATGAGCATAGGGGAAAACTAATGATTTGATCAAGACATGGTGTTAAAATTATGGTTACTCATTCATTTAATACTTCATTTATGCAGTCAGCAAACATGTCTTGGGCATCTAGTGTGCAGTTTCCAGCTAGTTCTGTACTCAGAGAGCTCATAGTCTGATGAGCATAGGGATCTCCACAATGAACTTCAAGAGCTATCATTCTGTTGGCTAGAATTGAATTGAATATTTCTTGATCTTTTTATCTTTGTTGTAGAATTATTTTCATTAAAATGGCATTCATTTCTTGGGCATGGTGGCTCAAGCCTATAATCCCAGCATTTGGGAGGGTGAAGTGGGAAGCTTGCTTGAAACCAGGAGTTTGAGACCATCCTAGGCAACATAGCAAGATCCCGGTCTCTACAAAAAATTTAAAAATGTGCTGGATGTGGTGATATATGCCTATAGTCCCAGCTACTTGGGAGGCTGAGGCAGAAGGATAGCCTGAACCTAGGAGGTAGAGGCTACGGTGAGCCATGATTGTGCCACTGTACTTCAGCCTGAGCGATAGAATGAGACTGAATTTTTTTTAACAATGTTAATTAATTGGAATTAGTCACATGCCCTTGCCTAACTTCGAGGAGAAGGGAAAATACAATCCTTCCTGGTACTCTAAAGGAGAGAGGAACTGGATACTGGGTGATATTTGACCTTATAACAATAAAAAGTATATTGAGTAAAGACCCACAATCATAGAGTAAACTGAAAGTCCCAAATATGTGCAAATGACATTACAACCAAAGTAGCATGTGCAAGGTTGATAGTATTTATCACCTGAGTACTAACATAGACAGGAACAGACTCACATGCTGGGACTCTTCCTTGTCACGTTGTACATGAGATGACTACACTTCTGAAAAGAAATAAATTTGTATGCCAAAACTGATCATTTACAAACTGAAAAAATTCCTGTGAAGGAAGAGTTTGGAAATAATTCTAAGAATCTGTTGTTATTAATCCAGCAAAGAAAAAGGAATAGACACAAATAAAACCCAACAAGAAAAGACTAGACTAGGATCCAAGAAGTAAAGACTTGTACTTTGCCGTATACTGGCTCATGAGATATTGTGGGAAATGAGCCATATCCATGCTCAGATTAATTCAGTGCACTACCCTTTAAGTAATAATATGAAAGAGGAGGCAAAAACAGCCCTCGAAAAACTGTGATGTGAGATTTGACCTGTGTATCGCATGCTGCACTTTGGCAATGCCTACAACAACTTAGAATCCAGTGCCTTGGAATATGATGTTTTTAAAAAAGGGACTTGCTGAAATCACCAGTGCGAAGTTCATGTGTTATCTTTTACAACTTATGACTTATAATTATTTCTTTTTATCTTTATTAAAATAGTACATGCACTTCACATAAAATTCAAATAATACTCCATGCCTTGTGTCCATCAAGATGAACTGAGTTATGCCACTATAACATCAGCAACAAACCCTAAATCTCAGCAGACAACAATAACTGTAACTTTTTCTCTTACCCCCACCTCAAGTCTAATATGAGTGGGTGCCTTTGTTCACACTGGATAACAAAATACCATAAACCGAGTAGCTTACACACAACGAAATGTATTTCTCGCTGTTCTGGAGGCCGAGAAGTCCAAGATCAAGGTGCCATCAGGTATGGTGTCTGGCAAGGGCTTGTTTTCTGGGTCATAAAGGGTGCTTTCTCACTGTGTGCACACATGGTAAAAGAGCAAGGCAGCTCTGTGGTGTCTCTTTTAAGAACACTAATCTCATTCATGGGAGCTCCACCCTCATTACCTAATCACCTCCCAAAGGCCCCACCTCCTGATACCATTACCTTGGGGAGTAGGATTTCACCACATTGGCTTTGAGGGACACAACCATTCAGACCATAGCAGTGGGAGACTGCTCAGATTGACAGAAGCTCTGTTTCAGCACATGCTTTCACCACCCCAGTGGCAGGAATAGTGGAGCTGAACAGTCTCACACTGGCAATTAGCACTCTGACCAAAAGTGCCATTTTCCCCAACCTATGGTTAAGAACTAGTCACTTAACCACACGTGGACAACCAGAAGGAGGAGAAATATGACACTCCCACTGACCTAAAGAAAGGGACCTGGGTGTCAGTATGCCATAGCCATATCTTTTCCAAGCCTTATAAGAATAAACATCATTCCCCTACCCAACCCTCTCCACCCACCAATTCCCATTCCAGAGATAAAGACCTTTGGCTTTTAGCTGTTTCTCTTAGAATTCACTTCCATCTTTCTAAATATGCATATACCAGTTGTAATGGATTGAACAGTGCTCCCTCCCCCAATTTATGTCCTTCCCAGAACTTCAGAAGGTGATCTTATTTGGAAATAGGGTCTTCACAGATGTAACTGGTTAAGATTTGGTCATACTGGGATAGGGTGGGTCCTAAATGCAATGTGACTGATATTCTTATAAGAAGAAGAAAAGGACTTCAAGGAAAGGCAGACACAGATAGAAGACTACCATGTGATGTTGAAAGCAGAGACTGGAATTGTGCAGCTGCAAGGCTACGAATGCCATGCATCATTGGCAACCACTAGAAGCTAGGAGAAAGGTAATGAACAGATTGTCTCTCTGAGCCTTTAAGCAGGAACCAACCCTGCTGACACCTTGATTTTAGACTTCTGGCTTTCTGAACTGTAAGAGAATAAAAATCTGTTGTTTTAAGCCATGCAGCTTGGTAATTTGTTAGGAAGCGAATATACCACTCTTTCTTAATTTGTCAGCTTTAAATGTTATTTATGATATCTAGAATTGCACCCTGGCCCCAGTTCCCCTCCCTGCATCTGTCCCATGATTGATCAATAATCAATTGTTTGCATTATTTTACTATACATTGTTCACTACTGAACCAAGTGGTGTTCAGTGGTTGATTTTTCTGGAGTTAATTATTGCCTCGTATTTTCATTCTTTAGTTCTCTATAAGGCTATTGTTAATTGTTATTTCTGCCCAAATTTTTCCACAGCTTCCTTTTTACTACTGATTGTCACTCTCTTAGCAAATAATGGGGTGGGGCTTGTTGAAAGTGGCCTTTTGACAATGATCAGCTTGTTAAGCACCCCCTACTCCCTCTTCCAATATCAATATTTAAAGATCTTTTCTGGGATACTGTTTCTCCAGTGAAGAATCTTTCGACCAAGTAGTATGTTGTGGAAAGTCTCACCATTAAGGATGAAGAATTTCACATCATCATCATGTTTCTATAATAGTTTGGGGCCACTCACCAGCCCTCCACTGTACCTAATGGCCCTCAGCCTGAAGAGGCTCTCTCTGGTTTTGTCTCCAGAGAATAATCTTCAGGTCATAAGTGGGGAGGTGGGTAAGGACATATATGGACTTTCAAGCAATCCTCCTGTTTTCAGTCACATCGCCTCACCTTCCA